CCCCCCCCCCCCAAAAAAAAAAAAAAACAAACTAAACTTGAATATTTCCTCAACTGTGTACAAAGCCTCTGTTGATTTACTTATTAACATCTTTCTTAACTGTATCATTCCGTAAGAAACTATCTTCTCTATATACAACTATCTCATGATGTCATTAGGAGAACAACTGAAAATAACTACAAAAAATCAGGCATCCACGATGTACATCTTTACATCTACAATATACCCACAACTTGCCACAATTCTCGTAAATATTCTTTTTCAGTCTCCCAACTCCAGTTCCACCAGGAATTATCCTATATATACTGTAGTGCACTATACAACACTGGTCTGCCTACCACACAGCAGTTGTTACTATAAGATCCTCCGCACACTAGAGTTCTACAAGGAAACTACATCCTCTGTGCTGCATCACCAGACCTTTCTCTCCCTCCCATCCAGTTGTTATTGCGATTCTCTGCAGTTGTTATGATCTAGAGGTACCAACAAGCTGGTGTGATGCAGGCGGTTGGTCAAATAGGCAAGAATATTGGTCAAATCATCAGTGCTCAGGTGCAGGCTGAGCCGCCTCTTGTTGATCTTCCCAGAAGTTGTCAGCAGGGTCTTAAAGATCTATTGAGCAGACCCTTCCCCCAGCATCATCCATGTGCATCCGTCCCCACTTCAAAGATACTCCTTACTGTATCCAAAACAGCAGACATTCTGATGAATTTTAATTCAAATCACCACTTTATCTCTTTTAGGGTTCCAACTAAGCTGTCCCCAAACTTTAAACATTTTCCTCTTCAAACTTGCAATTTTTCCACGTTTCACCAATTGTTTCACTTCATGGCCCTACTCAAGTATAAGAATAGGGGTGGCATTCTACATCCTCTCTAGGGGCCCAGTGTAACAGCACAGCTAAAACAAACATGCCCTGGATGCTGGATATGTATGACCATCCACAGCCTTTTAATAAGGCAGGGAGGAAAATCAATCATTTTCTTATTCTGGAGGCCAGTACTCTTGCTGCGTATCCAACCTCTAGGTAGTTGGGTGATGTTTGATGAAATGTTAAGTTTAAATCCACATTTCCAATGTTCTTGGCTTCTTGGGGCCAAATCCTTGTTGACTGCTTCATTACAGTATATGGTATCTGTGGAGTAATGTAAACTGACATTTTACCAAACAAGTGTATATATGTGTGCGCATGCACGCATGTATGTACACATGCACTAATGCACATGGGCATTTTAAGTATGTGTGTGCATACATACTACAACAAGAACACACATATTCTAGTTTATGTGCCTATTAAAATGCCTTATGCACTCTTCAAACCAAACGTGAAGATGACATTCCATGTTATTGCTTACTGATCCAACATTTCTTATTGCAGACCATACTGGACTGAACCCGTACTTTAATCTATTGGTTTCTGAAATCGCTCATGCAGAGCTGCTTGCTGTGAGGTTTCTGAGGAATATTTCTATCAAGATTGATGATTGCTTTCTTGGTGAAATATTTTCTTGGATCAATAAGTTCACTTTCCCTCTCAACATGGGGTGTGAAAAAATTAGTGTTGCTTTTATTTTTTATCTGCTATTTTGTCTTAATAATACTGGTGTCAAACTCATGTTCAGTGCCTTAATCTGATAAACAAGTGTAAACTTATGAACACCAAACAGTTCTTTTTCCTTCAAACAGCTCTGTTTCCTCACATATTCTCCATTTTCTTGTTTGTGCGTCAAGCCATATCAAAACCAGAAGTCTGATCTTTGCTCCCTCCTTCAAGAAGTTGATTCAACACCAAAGAAATGATCTCATAGAAACAACAGGCAAATATTGTTGTTTCCTCATTGAGGGACAAGGACATGGAATAAATCTCCACCTTTTCCAACCTTTGGCTCTTACTTTCCTTTCCATAACAGTCCTATTTCCGTGCTTGTTTTTGTATAATCAAACCCAATCAGCCGAGCTTGCTTTTATTTGTAACCTATTGCTACAAGACCCAAATATGTTTCTATCTTTAAATATTCTACATGATTTTCAGGAAGTTGGAATACACCCATGGGGATATTTTTCTTTCATCTTTTTAAAGATGGCAGACAATGTAATGATATCCATAATTGAAAATAACATATCCAGAAACCGTATCATGTTTAGGAACAACTTAAAAATGTCAGATTTGATTCTGAAGTGACCTTTGGGATACATTTTCCAATATGCATCATTAATTCAACTGTTTTTTAAACACCTCTTTGCTATCTATTCTTCAATAGAACCATAAACAAACAATATTAATATTCTATCACATCTCCAATCTGCAGTCTCTTTCTCCCTGTATCTCCCAACACAAACAATTTGTCCTAGCTGTGACATAAATAACCATAAAATAGTTTACAAGATGAATCAGCCATTTCCTTTCCTCTTTTTTAACTAAAACCAGGTGTGCTGCCATGTTGAAAAACACAAATTCTAACGCTCAATTCAGACCAGGTCATTTTGGATTAGAAACCAGCGCAAATTGTGTCCGAAGACTAATTTAATTGATATTCTCAGACATTCAGGATAGCATAAAGTGGTCCAAGTCCACACGGACTTTGAAATAAAGACACCCAATGTACAATAATGGTGGTAATCTAAGTAAATTCCGGTTCTGCACCACCTAACCCGTTTTTACTGATTGGATATGATGGAGATGATCTTTCAGAGACAGATTTTATGAGGCTTTCCTCGCCCAGTGATCTCCTCTAATTAACGTCAGAGAAGAGTTGAGGCTGTGGGAGGCTCCTTCTCTCTCTCTTTCTCTCTCTTTCCAGAAGCATAAAAGGGAGGTAGCTAAGAATACAGCTATTATTGGTTTTGCAGAATACAAATTGTGAAATAACTTTTTTTAGTATTCTGTAATAAAATTTAGATATGACTCTGTGAATGTACTTCTTATTTGTAAAAATCGCAATATCACTTCACTTTTAAGAGCAAACATGAAATGTCAAGGTGATTTATAAGTACTGCATTTTTATGTGTGCCACAATGCTCCAGGTACAAAAACGATTGTCATTTTAATTGCAATGTTTTAGGTACAGAATGTCAGACATCTTTGAAAGAAAGTGCTGCAAGGCCTGCCAAAATTTTCCTTTGCACTTCAACATGGTCACACTTTTTATTTTTTTCAAAGGGAAGAAAACCACATTCAGTGGTATGAAAAGCACACCTGATTGTGAACAACATTTTTTTTCCCAAAGTAAAACCTACGGCCATCCAGAAAAATCACTCCAATCCTGACCATCTGCTATTTTTCTATCAAACAGGCTAAGTTGGCTGCCATCGAGCACAAACTCATTTCCTCTGGCCTAGTGGAAAAAAGTGGTCTTATAAAAACCAATTTGCCCATGTTTTGATTACAAAACAAGTGACCACGCGGAGATAACTGGGAACCATATCACGCAGTTAGCTATCATAATAACCTTCAGCGTCTCAAAATAGTACCATGTTAAGTCGTTTTCCCTTTTCATTACGAAAAAAAAAAAAAAAAAAAAGAAATGAAGAAAAAAGTCTCAACTGTCAGACATGCTTGGCCTGAAGTAAAATACATGGCAAAAAAAAGGGTCTGTTTTAGCCCTACCCCCATCAGAAAAGACCAGAAGTGAAAAAGAGGCTGATGTATCTAGAATCAGGAGAATACTGTCCACCATTTTTTTTAAATCATTTTTTATGCTCCATATCATCCAAATAACACAGCAATACCAAAGATGGTTTGAATTTTAATATGCTGGGATTCATGCCATCGTATCCAAAATTTGGAAACAAGGTGGTACAATTTTCATACAAAACAATGACTCCAAGATTTCTGACAATGCATCAGGAAACTGTCCACCATTTTGGTTTTCTTGCAAGGTGTTCCTGATCTTCAGCATAAAATGTCCATACAGGTCATCTCTCATCATAAGTAGATATATATAATCGGCAATGACATCATCACAACAGAATCAATTCATACAAACGGTATATGGTCAATGTTAAACAATTGTAGCACAAACAAGTAACACTCACCTTGGCCTCTTCGGTGCACCTTGAAGGAGAGCAGTTACAGCCTAGTATGTACATTATGCTGGCAGAAACTGACATCACTCCACCATCTACAGCACAGGGTGATAATACAATACAGGTTGTCATGGGGAAGTGGTTACAGAACAGAGCTGTTGTTGCCAGGAATACGCTGGTCAGAATAAGGGTTGCCACGTGAATGTGGTTACAGGGCACAATACAATAGTTTACATCTACGAGGTATATTCGCTGTAAAGTGGACAGATAAATACCCATGCTCTTTCTCTCTCTCACACCAATACACAGAAATGCATGTGAAGCGCGCGCACACGCACACAGCTACTTCAAGGATGCAAAATTAAATTTTAGTAAATCTTCTCAACATCAGTCACACTCAGTTGGTCAGTTATCTGCTTTAAGTCCTCCTGAAATCGTTTGCAAATAAATCAACAGAACAGGTTTTGTTTTTCATTCACGGCAAAAGAGAAAAGCAACATGGAGGAGAAAAATCAGCTATCCTTGACTGGTGGTGAGACGGCTGCTTCTTCGTCTGCTTCTGGGAATGTTGATTGTGTGTGATTGCAATTTGGTGTATAGTCAACTCCCAAGAAACCAACACAACAAATGGTCAACATTGGAATGTGCAATATTTCTGCATGTGAAAAAATTTTACTTGATATATCACCATATAAGATACAAGAAAAAAACATTCATTTCAGATACAATATCCTCCAAAATGTATAAAATCGATAAATGCTAAATATCATCTCTTTTCCTTGGCTTAAAATAGTGCCACAGACATACAGAAATATACCACATTGCATGGCTGACATAAAAAAAAATTTAGCACAGTACTCACTCTGCTGATAGGGGGCATACGATGTTTCCGTTTCCGCCGCCGATGACGACCATATTTTGATGACCTACTTGTAGCATCTGTCATTGATGAGAACCTGGGCAAAAAAATAAAAGAAGTGAGAGAAAAAATTGTCACTGTCAAAAAAGTCCAATGTTGTTCCTTTTTAAATTCAAATCGAATACAAGATTTTTCTGTAAGATAAACATTATTCTCTATCAAACCGTGTCCAAATTACGTTAAGAAGTCTATGTTATGTAAGAATTCTACTTAAGAAGTCTTATTTTTTTATTTTACCAGGACACCAAAATAACTCACCTGCTTGAAGCATCGTCTTCAGAATCGAAAAAGCTAGTGGTTTCTATATCACTTGTGATGACTGACGACGACGTCTCATAACCATGGCCTCCGCCTCGATGACGCTCGTGCTTATTGTGTCCATTTGTAACTCTTGTGACTGAAAAGAATAGAAAATGATACTGGATAAGAATTCAGCGCCAACTGACAAAATATGAGAAGTGAATGAATTCAGAAAATAAAAAGCATTGCGTTTTGTGATCTTCGATGTGTGTGAAAAAATTCAGGAAAAAATTCTGTTTAAATTCAGTATTGATTAACGACCATGTGAGGGTTGAAATATACAGCAGTTTGCTTCTAATATATTTTCTAGTCCAGTGAAGCTTGTTACAGCATTGATTTTCTTTGAGAAATAATGTAAATTTCATGCATTTCATGATTTGCATTTGTATTGCAAAAGGAACCACAGTGAGGGTCAGGGCTATCAAATACAAAAAATATATTCCTCCAACTGAAAAACAGAAAAATGCTCACTTTTTTTTTAATTTTTAGTACATGAAAACACAAGACTTTTTTCTTTCCTTTTTTATTTAGCTTCTCTGAAATCATTGAACTCTTAAGTCAGCTACTCCTTCATCACAGAGTTGCTACTGTTTACTTCACTTTTTTTTTTTCAAAATCTATCTTATCAAAGAAAAAAGACAGAAAGCAAGAAAGAAAGCTGAGACCATATGTTGAAAACGCCCACAGCGGCCATACATAAGCACCTAGCTGGACACATTGTAACAACACTGTGTTTATGGATATCAATCCCTGAACCACCACAGCCCCGAGGGGGAAGTCAATCCCAATTAGTTAAAAGGTCCCTCTGCTCCCTATAGGGGATATCGCATCACCTAATGGAATAGAAGGATGTATCAAGTTTGATCGGAGGAATTACAACAAGAATCATTCAGGATTCCCAAGCTGAAGTTATAATCTATAGATTTTCTGACAGATTTGGCAGTTCAAGTGTAGCAAGAAGAACAGGTTTCTCTGGGAGTATTATTATGAAGGATGCATCAAAAGTTGAGAAATTGGTTGGTTGGTTTCAGTCAATCTAACTGGAAAACCTTGGTTTATGACAGTCAATCTTACCAGAAAAGCTAAGGTTTCGTTTGGCTTACATTTATGCAACACAAAATATTCGCAAGCAGTTCTTTTGTATGAAAGATTTCTTTAGCCATTTATTTCAAGAAAACTAGGGAAAAATCACTTCATAGAGCAAAAGGAAATATATTTCTTTTTTTGTTTTTTTAATTAGTGTCATTTTTTTCCAACTGCCATAAAACAAGTAAGCTAAACAGAAACCAAGCTTTGAAGGGAACTGATTGATTCTTCCTTCTTTTTTATAATTTGGAAGAAAAAATTATGGTAGACAAAACAAAATGTGTAGCTGAACTTGGGTCACCAACATGGTCAACCACTGCAGTTTATAAAGAGAGAATTTATCTGGACTGTAGGCAAAAGGAGAGGGTGGTAGAGACATTGACAGGGTTATCCCAAAGAAATGCCCTTTTGGCCAGAAAAGGTCTGCTTTGGATGAAAATCTGAACTTGGTTCTATGCCATTTCTAAAGTTGGGTCAACTAAGACGGTGAAAAGGTCCACTTTTTCACAAAAGGAACCCCACCCCAAAATCGTTGGCAACACATCTGTTGCTTCTTTCCACTCAACACCGCCAAGCATACCCCCCACCAGGAAACCAATTCACCGTAAAAAAATAGTCAACTCCAAACTTTTGATCTGGCTCTAGCATCTAAGACCACAACTTGAAAAACGATTAATGCGCTCTTAGTGTCTCATTATTTAAGACCAGAGTGGCGGTAACTCAAGATCAAAGTTTGTACATTTTTCAGAGTGTTTCAATTCCACATTTTTTTCTCCTATGGTCACTTGTAGGATGTCAATGCTACAGATGATGTTCAATTGGCTTGTAAGTGTGCTTTGGTTAAGTTAACAAACAAAATACACTGGTCTCTTTTCCCTTACTTTACAATGTACTCAATTTAATTTTTAGAAAGCATGCAGATTAAATTTCAGCATAATAATTTAACTTTGGAAATCAAAGTGTGATAGGCTTGCACATTAGTATATGTATTAAAGCACATGTGCAAACACTCAAGCACATACACACATGTTGAATTGATCAATTGCAGCAGTTGAGACAGCAATGTTCAGAGAAATACATCACAACTAGTGCAATCAAACTGTTGGCAGTTGTCATTTCTACAGTGTCTGCTGTTTGTAATTTTGTGGTGATATGTTTCCATTTACTGCGCTATGTGGTAATTGCTATTGTTCTCATAATGTCAGTTGTCACTGTAACTGACGTAGGTTGTCACAGTTACTGTAGGCTATGCTTATTTGGTAAAATGCTACTGAAATCTTTCACTACATGCTGTCATAGTGTTTACAATGTAATTTGTCATTGTTATTGTATTCTCAATGCAAGTAGTCATTGTAGACAATTGTTGTTGTTGTTGCTATAATTGCATATACTCTACTCAGGTAGTTATAACCTAGTGTACTCCACTTGGTATTATTGTCATTGTTCAGCCTAGTTTCTCCTAGATGAGTAATCAACTGTATTGAAGTTGTTCTTGTGTAGTGTACCCATTACGTAAGTTTAGTTGTCACTGTTAGTGTATACTGTACTCACTATGTAAGTTGTCATTGTTTGGCCGAGTGTCTCTGGGATGAGTTATAGACTGTCTGGATGAAGAACGCACTTGCTGATTTTGACGATCTAAAATGCAACAAAGGTGAAACAAAACTGAAAACACTTAAAAAGCACATGCACCATGCCCAAAAACAACTTAAATCAGCCAGGCATATTCAAAACAAATTACCGTTCTTTAAAAGAAAAGTAAAATGCACACAGTGCACTTTTATAAGATACAATTAAGAATAAAAACTGGTACAACATTGAGACAACAATTTAAGTTCACATTTTTTTTCAAAATTCATGCACATGAATAAGCAGTTTAAAATTATTCAATTTATAAATTCAGTGTACAGTTTAGATTAAAACAAAACATTCTGGGATAACATGGGTCAGACAATTAAATTAAATCAAACACACACAGGCGTAAACATAAATATGCCCACACAAACACAGTCACAAACATGCACAAAAATCTTCAAAAAGTAAAAAGACACACCCACAACTGCTCTCCCTCTCTTTTACTTACTGGCATCTCTTTCCTTCTTCCCCCCTCACCTCTCTCTCTCTCTCTCTCTCCCCGTCTTCTCTTTTAACAGACACAAAGTTTCAAAACCACTCAAACCTCAATTAAAATTGGATGCCTTGCTCCCTTTCCCACTTCATACCATTTTCTTTTTCTACTCACCTTTGATAAGCCTCAGTGCATTCCCAAACATCACTCCTAAAGGCATTGTACTTCAACCAAAGACTTTTCTCTTAATTTTTCTCTTAATATACAAATCTAACTTTCTTATAACAACTTTACTAACAGTTCAAGTTAAACTCTATTCATGTAATATCTTGTAAACTCTCTCCTCAAACATATTGATATTCCTCATCAATTCCCATTTCATCAGTATCCAGAGGTAAATATCTCCCAAATGTGTCAATTTCACAATCCTAGAATTTGTAAATTTCACGATAATCCTCGTCAATTACAGCAAACATCGTCAATTACAGCAGACATGTAGGTTTCACAGCCAGTGTCTGGTAGAAATGTCCCACCTGTCTACCTCCCGCGAATTGTGTCCTGGTCCAAGACTGCACCGAACCACTTATGTACCCTCTCAAACAGGTGAGAAAATAGATTTGTTGGATTTGTTAACATTCAGTTTGAAGAATATTCATTTTCTTTGTGGGGATCCTACTGACTATTTAGTCTAAATTTCATCTTGACTTGTTCACAACTGAAGTTCATGCCAATCTCCAAACAGAAACTTTCAATTATACTAATAAGTCTTATTATTATTTATGATCAAAAGGACCATCTTATAATAACAATCATTATTCAAGCCACTTTATATTTTTTCAAATAGACAATTAAAGAGAAGGTAAAAGGAGCATTCTCTGATCCTTGCTAAAGGCCTTGCACATTTCATTATAACTATTATTATTTTTTTTTTTGACAAAATACTTATTTCAAAACCCTTTAATTTAAAATAGCCCCCTTCTACATCTGTTTGGGACCCCTGTAGCAAGAGGCTCCATGCACCTTCACAAACTATTGGCAACAATTTCCCCATTACCCCCACACAAAGCCAGTTAGGTCAATATTTTGATTTTCTCCCCATGTCTGAAAGGTACGGAATCGATTGATTTCCCATTATTCCTAGCACCTCCTAATAACTACGGCGACCTGGTTCATTCCTCATTTGTAAGCCCCAGTTCGAAGAGATTAACATCATTGATTTTATTTGTTTGCAGTTGTTGACTTTGATTGGGACAAACAATAGGAAGGAAGGTATAATAAATTGAGCTCGCCCTCAGACAAAATTGGGCATTTATTGGAGAGCACTTATTGGCCAGTAAACATCAGTTTCCCCCTTTTTGTTTGTGGTGTGCTTGAAAATGAGGTACAAATGAAAGATTTCTGAAAATATTCCTATTGCATCATTATTGTATAACACTTAATTCCAGAATTGAAAACTCAGGTTACAAATGATTCAATTTCAAGGAGTGGAGATGGTGGGAGTAGGGAAGGGAAAGATAGAAGGGGGCTGGATGGCGGGAGGGAGGCTGTAAGGCACAGGCTGTTTTTCGAAATCTCACCAAAGTTTCCAAATATTGTTGCAGTAATTCGGCCAGACTCGAGCCCACTTTCCTCCATTCCCACATTTTTACAAAGCACACAGCCATTTAAATCCCATCCCATGGCCCTGTTATTTTACCCTTAGAAATTCACAAGCTCAGGTATGCCGCCTTGTTTTCTTTTCATTGAGCCCAGCATTTATATCAAACAGAGAGAATTCTCAATGGCCGGATTTGAGGAAAATAATCAAGCAGGAGAAATTAATAACTCAGAGCAAATGACCATGAACCCTGCGTCTGTCCAGCTGGTCAGTTTATTTAATGAATGTGTACATTGGACATATTACGGGGTGATGGAAATATTTGGGGATGGGGGAGGAGGGGGAGTGTTTGGGGTGGAGGGGGGGGGGAGGGCTGACTGGACAAGAACGATAGCTATGAAACCATTTTTTCTTAGGTTTCAGAAGACTAAACCACAGTTGTAATGTTAAACCAAAATGACATGACATCCCATATTACGTGAAGAGTTACTATCATGAATGAACCATGATTTTAGTTGAAATGGTTAAAGCAAGTTCATCTTGAAGCATCCTGAAAGGTGAATATTGTCTAAAATTCATCTTATCTCTTCAATCTTACTCTGCATCTTGCTTTTATATCTATTACATTAATATCACACTGACTTCATTCAGCCCTCAACTACTGGTTTTCCACCATAACACATCATACCATACTTACCCTTTTCATTATAGCCAATTAAGTTGACAGAGTATCTAAGCATTCATTATGGACAGTTAAAAGCTTTGAAGTTTCCCAAACTGATGTCAAATACAAACCCTGACTTGTTTGAATCCAAACTTACCATATTTTAAAACAGAGGAAAAAACATAAAACTGTAATAAAATCCCTCAGGGAAATGTTCATAAAAGTGCAATGTCTGGGTGTACTTGTATAACATGTGAGCCAATTTTTTACAAGAGCCTTGCGTGAAAATGTGATGATGATTGCGCAAAAGCAAGGCTGTATCAGATCGTACGTGTCTGCAAATGTAACTGCGTATGTTTGCATTTGCATGTAATTGTAAATGTTAATGCATTCTGATTGACATAAGCTTACACTGCTTTCCTTTAGTCTGGTGACAAAACTGTTCATTTTGACTTGCATGTAAGCATTACTGTGTGTGTGTGTGTGTGTGTGTGCGCGCGTGTGTGTGTGCATGCGTGCATGTTCGTGTATGGACACATGTACCATAGACATTATCACTCACAAGCCTCATACTGTACTATCACTTCATTGTCTATAGATTACCAATACTTTTGTTAATCTGTGCGTGTGTGTGTGTGGGTGCTGACATATCTACCTTCACATTGGCACAGACTACAGCATTCACAAGTCTTGAGCACCTGTACCGTCATCCCCTTGTCTGGTGACACTGTTGTCAACACCTGTATTCTCACCATGTTGTCAAACGGTGTGTGACAATCCCAGCGAAGCTCAAACATTAGGAAAATGACCAAGCTCTCCTGGTTGACATCCAAAGCTGGTTATTTCTCAATGTCATGCGAGAAGTGCCACGACCATGGTGGTGTTTTGGGAGATTAGCAAAGGCTCTCTGTAGTAACTAACTTAATTTTAGAAGTTTAACTTCTCACAAGTGTTTAAGTATTCTCCAATGTTGTATGAGATATACAAGCATCTGTACCAGGAGCGTGAGAATAAGGATGAAAATTGATAATACTTCCTGTTTGATTTGCTGATAGAGTAAGGCTCTTTTGCTCCTTGAATGGCTTTGCTGCTTGCAAATCCAATTCTGCTGCTTCAGAAAATCTGCTTATTTCCTTTTGCAGATTTCAACTTGTGATCCACTGCATTTTTTTTGTCATATATTTTTTCTCGAACTACTCAGATTCCAATCAACATCCAGATTGCCAATCAACAGATTTCCCAAGTGAGGTTTCGATCCGTGTAGACCCCAACAAATTCATAATTTATTCAACATTAACAAGACTCCTTCCACCTTGATGTTTGTTAAAAAAGAAAAGAAAAAGAGCATGTCACACATGCACGTTCATTCCACCCATGTTTAATAAATCGGGGATGAATATTCCAACAAAAACATTTCACTCCTGCTGCAACATTTGAACTGTGTGTGTGCAGTTGTTATTTCAGAGAGCTCCGTGGTACCCCTTCAATGTGAACCGTTTCCCACACAGACTGAGGTCGCCTTTAGCGGTGTATTGCCTCATGTCTCATAACACCGATTCCCTTGTTTTTACAGCTGAAAAAGTTTGATACATTAGACCAGTGCAATCAGAAGGCTGTAAGCAAAGAAAAAGGGCAATTTCCTCTTGGCTTGTTAAATAAAATGAAATGCTGACTGTATTAAAACTGAAGACAGCATATATGGCATATGGTGTAGAAAGTATATGGTGTAAATAGCTACAACTCATTGTATTACAGTACCTATCTATATCAGATCTGTATATTTTTTCATCAGATTTGTCTGTAAAGTTACTGAATACTATATATATATGAATCACTGTTTCAGTGGTATATTTGACAAATTTAATAAAGCTTATGTTTAACTTTACGGCAATGGACCCATGCTCAGTTTCATTTTCCTTTCCCTCATTTAAAAAAAACTGCCATCACGAAGGACTCAGAACTTACAACCATTGTTGATAGACTAACAAAACCAAATAAAAGTGGTTTATTGTAGTAATTTGTTATATTCAATACTAGCTAATTACTTTCCTTACATTTCTTTACTGTTCAGACTTTCTGTAGGGGGGCAATGATAATAACATTGTGAATTAGACACTGAAAATGGTGAATTTTTTCAATATGTAATTATCTTTGTCTGCCCCTAGTTCCCCTTACGTATTATTATTACATTATAATATACTATTTAGTTGTCCACCTACTTTATTTGTCTTATAAATGCAATTGCCTTCTCCGACAACCAAAATACCAAGCAACTGCTTTTTTCCCTTTCCTCCAAAAACACAAAGCACCCCCTGTTCAAGAAAATACCAATAATTGACAAACTTGACACTTTCTCGAAAGGCCTGACAGGCTCCTTTCACCTCCTTAAAATTTTCAAGCAAATGTTCATCCTCTTCTGCAGAAAATAAAATCAGCACAATCACTGAGTCAAGAAGTTTTTGTCAAACTGACAACCTCAAAGATTTCATATCAATGAAATATACACAACTTGGGTCCAACCTCTATACCACCTTCTGTAAATATCATACTTCTTCCTGTTTTCACTTGATATCTCTCTATGTTTTTTTAATAATTCAAAAGGCAACTGTTTTTTACCCACATGACCTCTAGGTCAACAGTTATTTTTAAGTATAGCACCAGCCACTTTGATACCAGGAGTATAATTTTCATGCAAATGTAACCACGAAAAGGATGCCTTATATTATTAAAAAGCACTTTCTTTAGCACAATTTTAATAGATTCTTTTACATTTTCTTCCATATGCATTTAAGGAAATACCTTATGCATTTTATCATCCATTTCTATTACTATGTATTCATATGCAAACTTGCCCATTTTTTTCACTTTTAAGGGTATTTTAGATACATTATTTAGGATGGAGTCCCATTGTTTACTGGTATTATTCTATTGTTAACAAGATGTTACACAAAAGATCTATACATTTTGAGCTGTGTCATATTGGCAACACTGCATATGGTTTCTAAATATATACATATCTTGCTATTTTAAAACAGAAGCAGTCATCTAACTAAAGACTTATAAAGCAGCCTAGTCGACTATCCAGCTCTAGTTCTCTTACCTATCACACCATTTAACCAGAGTACAACACCCTCATGTATCACCTAATACGATCTATCTTTTACATTTTGATCACTTGCCTAACACATCAGACAAAACATTAAAATTATTCACCAACCAAAAACAAACTCACCGTGTTATAGCCACCGGCCCCACTTTGACGCTAACTAGGACAGCGCTACCAAATCACACAAAAACAATAGAGCTTGTCACCCGAAAACACTGACACAAATTTAGCACACAAGAACAAATGACTTGACAAGTTCACTGGAGACTGTCTACATCTGCTACAGGAGAAAGTCCTGTATTGACTATATATATGCCAATATCTTTGTCTTCACAGATCGAGTGACAGAACCTTGTTTAAGTTAAGCAGCAACAACCCTGTGTTTTGCCCACAAGGTATTTTATTTGTCCCTAGTTTCTGCTTAGTCAACAGTGGATAATCCTTTTCTTTTATTGCTGTTTTTTCACAGGGAATCAGACAGAGTCAATATTACTTCAGTAAAATGGTGTGATGTAACATGGTCTACTTCAGGAGACTGCTGTGTGAACAATGTGACGTACTTATTAAATACCATAAAATATTGACACTGAGGTAACGTGGCATTTCTTTGAAATAAGGACTTCTCAGATCAATAAGTTCACCATAAACTGATAAGTATGCACAGTTTCTGATATACTTTGTCACACTAAGAAAACTTTTTTGCAACTATTCTAGTCTGGTCCAGTATCCAAGACAGATTTCATATCAATCTCTGACCATTAATTCTAAGAATAATTCTGGTTCAACTTACCATGATTCTAACAGTGAAAGAAGAACATTTCCTCAAACATTAACCATCTTTAATTGAAAGAATCTTTCACGTAAGCTCAAAATGTACTGATAGGACAGAATTCAATGTAAAACAACCTTGACAACTTGACAAACTGGATACCACTCAAGCTGAGATGTCAGACCTCACCTAAACATTGTCTCCAGATCTCACGCTTTTTTCTCCTTTTTTTTTTTGTCTAGGTGAAGTTGATTACCAAGCACAGTGTTCCATGGTGGCCGTGACAGAATACAGAAGACTTCAACTTTGACTTTCAGATTCACATCTGCATGTACAAGGAGTTGGATATGCCAGTGAAACCCTCATGGCAAGTTAACCTAAACTGGTTAGGTGTCTCTTCTTTTTTTTTTTTAAACTGAATACACCAACATCATTAAAAATGTCCAGAATTTAAAACAAGAAATACCTTAGTCTCTTGTGCAGTTCTAGGCATTTCCACATTGAAACTGTCTTAATTCATGTGCACTATATGTCCTTCACTTCCTAAATATTACATATAGCCAAATGTGCAGCAGTCTTAATTTCATAGTCACTTTCTGATCTCGTGACCCAATTCTAAATGTCATAGTCAATTTCATTACTGTCAGTTTCATAGAGCCATTCATATTCTGACATGAAAAAGCATAATAAAAAGGACGGAAATATTTTGTAAATGAAGAATGAAAACAACAGTTGAAAATATCAAGAAAATTCCATGCCTACTAAAAGGCTTATAACCTTTGCAGGTTAATAAAAGCGACTTTTTTGTTCTTCAAGACTTCATGTTACCTTGAAAAAAGAAATAGTTTATGGCTTCCAAATCCCATAAAGCAAATGATTTAGTATAACTTGGTTTTACAGTCCAATAATGGGACTAAAAGGCCTCTAAACCATAATTTTCCGATCCAGATCTACACCCCGTGATGGTTGCAGTATAACAGTCTTACATGACTTTTCCGCTCAAGTGAAATTTTGAAGACTTCTAGCTTTCATTCCATTTCTTTATGACAACTAACCCAATCAACAATAATATTTAAATATCCACAAAAAGTTAAATGTCAACCTGAACAGCTACCTAACCAATGGCAACCATTTCTAACACACCAGTAAAAAATACAACAAGAAGACATACCTGATCTCAGTTAAAACTAGACTGCCTTTTTCATATTCACCATCATTATTTTACAATATGTGCTCCATTATTGCATGAATAAGCTGCTGACCGCTATCACGACATGTTGCGAGCAATCCTTATTCAGCAGCATGTTTTAGATTGAATGCGTCGTATGAAATAAAGTGTCACTGTGACCTTTAAATTAACATAACTGCCTCATGTCACACGAGATCATCTGCGTATATCATCTGCTCGATGGTTACTGGCAGTCAACTCGGATAAGAGTCACTAAAATCCATGTATGGAAATAAGTTGCTGAAAATCTCTACAAACCAAAGGAAAAAAATGACATTACAATAAACAGACCGACTTCTGCTGAAATTTTAGACCATGAAAATTAAACCCCAGCTTCCCTGGGCTGAACTGGCACACTTCAATTGCCCACTGGTGCTCTTTTAAATTGAAATGAGTAACTCGGGCTGAAGTTGTGTCTTCCCTTGGCCTTATCTTGACTAAAATCTACCACCTGAGAATCAAAATGAATGGGAAGCCCTTGACCATCCTATTGAAATCAACAATCTCATGAAAATCAACATTTTTTTTCATATCTTTGTGTCACTAGCAAAACAAAGTTTTCTAACAATCTGCAATTTTCTTTTGCAATTGGTGCTGTGAAATTGAGATGCATTTTTTACACATGCTTTTCTAAGTGCAATATTGGACCCCAAAATGCAAACCTGAGTGGGTCCACTTCAGTAATTTTCCACATTGCCACAACCTTCATCTAGTATCAAAACAAAAATTCAACTCCAAGCCTTCGCACTTTCTGTTGGTACGGCAAGCTAGAATCTTTGCACTCATGTCACCCATTAAGCACACCACTTCTTTAGGCCCCTTGTGTTGGTTTAGTTGTACAGAATTCTCGTGCCTGTACTTAAAGGTAACACTGGTTGTGACTCCAGGCCTAATTCCTCCAAATCTGTTGCACAAATGTAATTCTGTGTGTCTTCAGTTCATTTGGGTGCACTTCAAGTACTCACTTACCAAGAGGAGGTACATCTCCTGAACAAGTAAAGCTTAAGAGCAAAACCTGAAGTCTTCCTACTTATATAATTCTCCCTTGTCATCTTAAGTCATTCTAACTCAGCTGTGGCCTAGCTACATAACAAGAACTGACTTTTTTGCACCTCTCTCTCTCTCTCTCTCTCTCTCTCTCTCTCTTTTTCTAGCTGTTCAAATTTAAGTTGCCTTGGACTGAATATATTGCTTAAGTTTTCAAATGTTTAGCTTTTTGTGAGGTTCCAGTGTGTGTGCATGTGTGTGTGTGTGTGTGTGTGTTTGTGTTTGCATGTGTCTGCATGCACGTGTCCACCCATATACATATATGTATACTGCATGTGTATCTACAATCATACTTGTCTTCTGACACGAGTTACTGCACTTTTTTTTATCTAAAACATCTTAATTCGTACCTCTTATATCAAATACATAAAAAAAAACTATAACTGTTACATAACCACACTTAAATCAAAGAAAACCACCAAA